GATATATTAGATGTAGTAAGAAAGATTGGGAACCACTGTTACAAAGTCTAATCTACTGCAGTTTCACCGCTTGGTACCGTTCAATAACTAAGAGGTGGTGCCTCAAGTCCTTATCGAATCGCCTATCGACTTCTCCATCTCCTTCTCAGGTTCTTCTATATAGAAGGCGTACGGTACCCGAGCTCATTTACCACAAGACGTTCCTTAATAATAATAAGACGTCATCTAATATACCTTTTATTATTTATTATTTTCCAACATATTATCCGCGATTATATACATTTTTTTTGCTTTGGGTTACTCGATTTAAGTTCTTTTAATTTGAAAATTGATGGTTGGAGAAGATATAGGAGCTTCATATCGTTCTCATTGACCGTAGGCGGGCCAAATCTATAAACATGCATTTGGTGGGCCGCCTTGAGGTGGATTGGAAAAAAGCTCTCTCGGATGGTTTTTCTTTCCGGTTGGCGCATTGTTGGCGAGCGTTCGGCGTGAAAGGTGATAATGCCGGGGCAGAGGTTAATGAAAGCCGCGAGTTAATAACACCTTGTAAAACGGCCGCGAGATAAACGAAATCCGGACGGCTGAGTTATTGCCGATTTAAGACGGCATCGTGTCCGTCGTAATTAGATTTCGAGGCGATCGAACTGTAGTCGAAGGACCGCTAACTACCACTTCCCGTTTTACTTTAAACGAAACTAGGTCTATATAAAACGAAAAAGAATGGGAAATAAAAAATAATCTTGTTGTTCTAGATTTCTATGAGTGTTTGAAAAAACTATTTATAAATAAGTTAATTTAAAAAATTCGATAACTTTTCAGAATCATCCGGAACCAGCTTTGAATTCCTATATGGCGAAGAAAGCAGACATCCAAATTTGCATACGACTCTCGGATGAGTCATCGATCTGTTGGCCTTCCTCCAAGAGAGATGTTAATGGATACATCAAACGAACGCTTCGAGGAGATTCGTTTTAAAATTGGAAAATTTTCATCGCATTGTTGTTGATACTGCGATCGTCGACGACGTCGACCAAAGAAGAGTCGAAAAGCTCGTAGCTTTATTGACCTTTCTAGCCGTATGAGTCAGCGCAGAGTCTCCAGACCGGGTCTTGAGTGGCCTCTGGCGGATGCAAGAGTACTAGTTTCAACCGTATATGGCCGGACAATCGCCGGACTTGGTTGGTAACTAGTCAGTCGTCTGTTACAAGAACCAGTTTTCCTTTACGTTTGGCTAAAAATATATATAACTAAACGACGAGCTTAATGAGGAATTAAATTTAATCATTTTCTTTTAATTCATTTTTAAACTTTTTTCTTATATAACTGCAATACAACATCCAGTTTTTACGTTGCACTTTTGACATTTTCCTCGAGAAGATCGAATTTACATTTCACGCCCTCATTATACAGAGATTCAACATTTTCAAGTTATGCAATAATCAATATTATTTCCGAATTGGTCATAATCCAGCCACGTGGCAAGAAATAAATAAGATGAGTCGATGGAATCATCAATTATTTCTAATTTAATGACTGCAATTTAATAATTATTCGTGGTTACTTGGGTTATTGGTTATTACCAATGTTTATTGTCCATGTAAGGACATAAAGAAATTAAGAGCTTAATATAAGAAATACATAAAGTATTTTACCATTACGAATTTTAATATCTTTCGATATGATCAATTTCAAAATGAAGATTTACTAATAAGGAGATTAGAATTCGATAAGAAATATCTTCAGGTTATTTGACAACTGCAAATTAAACTTAAAACATTCAAAAGGGTATTTTCCAAAATATTCAAAGATTTTGGAATATGAAAAAAGCTCAAAAATATCTCAAATAATTTTTGGTGACTTTTGAATGTATTTAGAAGTTACCAAAACATTGTAAAAGGTGATTAGCGAGAAAAAAGTGTTTTCCAGATAATCCAAAAAATTTACCCAACCCAATCCAATACATCACGCTTGGCGTATGGATAAGTTGGACTTGAATTATGTAGTTTGCTGGCTTACGTTTGAATAGATTAGGTTTGATTGTGGATCATGTAGCTTCGAGTTGGTGTGGAGAATTTGATTTGTCTCTAATATAGCTAAATTGGTTTGATTGCGAATGGGATGGGTTTGGTTTAATTTGTGCGATTGAGGTTGGGTCTTGTTTGGTTGCAGGAAAACTGATTGAGGTTTAATTGTGGATGAATTTAGTTTACCACTACTTTAGAAATGGATGAATTAGAATTAAATGATTGGGCTTGTATTTATGGTGGTGTGGATGGATTGAGTTTATGGATCGCTGTTTAGAAATCACCCTGTATACAGGGTGTCTCACGTAACTGGTTCGTTAGAACTTTTTTAGGTTCCACTATTCATAGAGGGTTGAAATTTTGGTAGCATGCGTTGTTCATTCTAAACTTTCAATCTAAAATATTTTCAAGATGGCCACCACTTCCGGTCTACCGGAAGTAGACCACAACTTCGTTATTTTAAATGGAATGCTATAGTTTTTATTACACCTTTCAATTATACATAAAAAAATATGTTGACTTTGATAAAAGTTGTTGGTACCTACCATTTTTTGTTTTCGAGTTATTTTGATTTTAAGCTTTTTTTGGCAAATTTCACCATGCTCTTTAAAAGCCTATATCTCAGTTAACGTTCATTAAAAAATCCTCTAAATTGGCACGATTACTCTTCAGATGTTGCCAAATAGATTGTCATTTCTTGTATCAGAGTATCTTATACAGGGTGGTCAAAAATTGAATTACCGTTTCTCCATATTCAATGGCTAGAAAGTCGAAAATTTTAAATGGAATACCCCGTATTTTTTTACCCTATCAGAAAGGGAATTTAATTCTCTACAAATTATCTATAAACATTCCTATACCTATTTATTGTAGTTTCCCTGATATTGGGACATTAATCAAAGCATGCACGGAATGCGGGAAAACGTTTGATTTTTTTATTAGAAGGCAATGGAATTTTGACAGTTTTTGGTCCATATTTGTGTTATTGTTGTTGTTACTTACTTTTGATCACGAGTGAAAGTCATTGTATATCATGGCAAATTATTCCAACGCCGATATTTTAAATTTGTTTTATATTCATGGCAATGGCCTCCACGATCTCCAGATTTAACACCATTGGATTTTTATTTGTGGGGTCACTTAAAAAATCAAGTGTACAATTCACCGATCAACACACGACAAGAGTTGCGTGATAGAGTGATGCGTGCACTACGTACTATTGATGGCGACCAACTTCTACGGGCCACAACCGTAGAAGTCGAAAGAAGAGTTGAAAAATGTTTAATGGTGAATGGTCAGCATATCGAACAGTTTTAATTTTTTTATAATTTTAAGTTTTTGTTTTTTTATATGTTATTCATTCTAATTTCTGTTATTAAATTGTTGTTTTTCATTGTTTCATTTATTCGTTTTTCTGTTGGTTATTTTTGGTAAATAAAAGCGAGCAAGCTAAAGGTTATTCAACCATAGTTAATTGTAGAAATAATACCAATAATAATTTAAATAAATTAAACGATGAACTGTCAAAATGTCTTGGCCTGCTAACAAAAACACAAACGGGCTTTGGGATTCTATGTCTGATTTTGATTAATTTTCCAATATCAGGGAAACTACAATAAATAGGTATAGGAATGTTTATAGATAATTTGTAGAGAATTAAATTCCCTTTCTGATAGGGTAAAGAAATATGGGGTGTTCCATTTAAAATTTTCGACTTTCTCGCAATTGAATATTGAGAAACGATAATTCAATTTTTGACCAGCCTGTATAAGATTCTCTGATACAACAAATGACAATCTATTTGGCAGCATCTGTAGAGTAGTCGTGCCAATGCAGAGCTTTTTTGAATGATCGTTAGCTGAGATATGGGCTTTTAAAGACCATGGTGAAATTTGTCAAAAAACACTTAAAATCAAAATAACTCGAAAACAAAAAACGCTAGGTACCAACAACTTTTATCAAAGTCAACATATTTTTTTACGTATAATTGAAAGGTGTAATAAAAACTATAGCATTCCATTTAAAATAACGAAGTTGTGGTCTACTTCCGGTAGACCGGAAGGGGTGGCCATCTTGAAAATATTTTAGATCGAAAGTTTAGAATGAACAACCCATGCTACCAAAATTTCAAACTACTACGAATAGTGGAACCTGAAAAAGTTCTAACGAGACACCCTGTATATTAAACGTTTACCGCAATGTGTTAACTTTAGGTTGTACCATATCGAACGGAAATCGTAACAGGGCGATTTTTAGCAATGTCCAAAGCGTAGGACACACTATTCGAGCACACGTGTAGGTGTGGATAATTTACATTAGAAGCTGTCGCGACATCGTCGTCCGTCGCCCACACTCCTCTTCGCATTTTGAATGAACGAGACGGTTTACCATCTCTTCTTTTTCTTAACACCACTCCATCGAGACACTGTCTAATTGCAACGCGTGTACCAAACGGTAGTAGCGGGTCATTCATTATTTCGTTCTGTCGAAAGATTGCGTAAGTAGAAAACGAAAATCTCTTTTAAGTTCTAAGTCTGGTAAAACGTTAGGTAATTCCTTGTAATATACAGAGAGAACCTGTGAATGGGGAATGGAATGGAACGGTGTTTGCTTGTATTATCTTATCTGTGCCGAGTTGGATTTAATTCAATTAGGGACGGTTTTTTTTTCTGTGCGTAGTTCAACGCCCTTTAATAGTGATTAATAAATTACTCTTTGTGTTAATTTGTTTTATTGGTATTTTTGGGATTGTAAAAATTGAAATTATGTTGGAATGTTATTCGAAGATTTTTCTTCTGTCTACCTGTGGTTTGGCATTTAATTAAACCACTCTGGGCAGGTAAAGGAGCACAAATCAAGCCAGGCACCGAACTGGGTGAGTAGACCTGTTACTCGTCGTCTTTACAACAAATATAACCCGAGAGAAGAGTGCTGCGCGAGTCTGAAACTCCGAGGCAGATCCGAAAGCCTCGTCAGTTTGCCGTTGTAAGCGCTCGAGTTCGCACCGTTAAGTTTTACCAACAACTTCAGACCGGCGGCAAAATATCTTTATCAATATAAACATAATTTTTAGTGAATGTGTAATCGGATTTATTATTATTATTTCTTAAAATTAATTTAAAGTGAACGTAAATCATTTCTTTTGGATGTTAGTACTCTTTGTGTGTATGTTCTGCGTCGATTGCGTCCAACCGCAAAGCGGTTTCAGTACATAAGTAGTTCACTGGCCTAAGTAAAGGGCCGTCCAAGCGAAGAAGGAGTATGAAAAGTCAGGTGGAAGAAACTCGAAACAGCAACACTTTCTTAGGTAAGACTTCTTTTTCGTTATGGGTGGCCAAAAAAGTTCGCAATCATTCAAATACAGACAAATAAAAATGTTACTATTAGTTTTAAATGAATGAATCACATCTGAAAATGTTCTCGTGGGTGGCCAATCTTTGAATAGTTTTTGACGTCTAGACTAAGCACTGTTACTCATGACTTAGTTGCGTGGTTAAAAACGCGTAGGGGTTCCGCAATTTAAAGTTTCCGTTCCAACTACAATAGCATACAATTCAAAAAAATATATTTTAACGACATCGCGGACAAACAGAACGATTAAGAAAGAATTTATCGAGCTCCGGTTAAAGTAGTTTTGATTGAGCGAAACTGTTTAAGATTGATAACGATTGGAATTTGGAGCAATTGTTATTAGAGGTCATATTAAATTCTTTTTAGAATTTAAATTTGTGCTGCACTACCATTTCTCATTACCTAAGCATAAAAGCATCACGTAACTTTCTATAAATAAAACATAACAATGATCAGCACTCGTGCGGTGGTATACAACATCGTTTTAATTAATTCTCTCATCCCGTTACACAAACAACTATGATAACTGCCTAGATTTATATTTCGCTTATAAAAATGATTTTTTAACGAAATAAGATCATATGTTCGGCGCCAGTTTAAAGATAAAATAGTTAATGTTTACATACTACATTGATATAGATTATCAAAAAGACTATTTTTAAATCATAAATTTATCAATAGTTAAATAGGTGATGTCATTAATCTTAAATATTATTAAATAATTAAAAAAATAAATATAGTACTTCAATTTTTTTAACGGAATCGAGATTCCTAGTAATTTTTAAATTTCTTAGAAAATCGATACAATCATAAAACCATTGTGGAAAATTGGTTTCTTGGAAATTAGTCATCAAATTTTCACCAATCATCAATAAAAGCATTTCCTTTTTAATGGTGAAGTCGGTTTTTAAAAATCACTTTTACTCTTTGAGATAGAAACTTTTTAATTGAATCTAAAATGTTAAAATTTCTTGGATTAAACTTAATAAAAATTTGTGGAAAATCGATTTCTTGGAATACAATCATGAAACCTTCATCAATCATCAACAAAACCATCATCTTTTCAATGATAAAATCAATTTTGAAAAATCATTTTTAGTTTTTGAGATATAATTTTTGTAATTCAACCGAGATTTCTGATAATTTTTATGGTTTTTGGATTGATTTTAATAACTTGTGTAAAATTGGTTTCTTGGAAATTAATAATAAAATTTTCACCAATCATCAATAAAAGCATTTCCTTTTTACTGGTGAAGTCGGTTTTCAAAAATCACTTCTACTTTTTGAGTTAGAAACTTTTTAACTTAATCGAGATTTCTGGTGATTCTAGAATTTCTTGGATTAAACTTAAAAATTTGTGGAAAATCGATTTCTTGGAATACAATCATGAAACCTTCATCAATCATCAACAAAACCATCATCTTTTTAATGATAAAGTCCATTTTGAGAAATCACTTTTGGTTTTTGGGATATAATGTTTGTAATTCAAGCATCTTTTCTGATGATTTTTAAGGTTTTTGGATTGATTTTAATAACTTGTGTAAAATTGGTTTCTTGGAAATTAATTATAAAATTTTCACCAATCATCAATAAAAGCATTTCCTTTTTACTGGTGAAGTCGGTTTTCAAAAATCACTTCTACTTTTTGAGTTAGAAACTTTTTAACTTAATCGAGATTTCTGGTGATTCTACAATTTCTTGGATTAAACTTAAAAATTTGTGGAAAATCGATTTCTTGGAATACAATCATGAAACCTTCATCAATCATCAACAAAACCATCTTCTTTTCAATGATAAACTCCATTTTGAAAAATCACTTTTGGTTTTTGAGATATAATTTAAGATATAAGATTTCTGGTAATTTGATACTTGATGTGCCAAATATATTGTTGGCAAAATATCCTTTGCTTTTTTTTTATATTTTACTTAGGAACACAAACGAAAAACGTGAATGATAATTAAACGACAGATGTACGGCATATGTCGTCGTTTTATAAGCTTAGGGACCAACCGCCAAGAATTGTTCGTCGCATTGCATCACATCGAATGTAAATAACTTTTTCGGGGACGACTCTAACCGAAAAACACGTCGAGACGCGGTCGATTCAGTTTAAATAGTGTGAAATTAGTGACCGGTAACCGAAAATCGAGCAAAAGGAACCGCGAGAACGACGAAAAGAAAACCGTTCTCACGAAAATCACTCGTACAGATCCATTGTTGCCAAGGCTTCAGATTCAAAATTAAATTTTTTTTCCTCGTCTGTAATAGAATCCTTATTGACATTAGTCGTTTTATCATCGCTGAGATAAAGTCGGTTTATTTACAGTTTATTGCATCGTTTCGTTCAACTTCTTCGAGATCAAAAAATCATATATCTATAATCCCAATGATACAGATTTAAACATTTTTGTGGTGATGGCAAAAATTAATGCCCGTAATTACACGATCATTACAGCGCCGGTTATTTTATCCTTTTTATTCTTATTTCTTTATTTTTCGAGTCGAACAAGGAAAAATCAACTGCGATGTACTGTTATAACCATTAAGCTGCACCTCTCCGCGCTTCGTCCGTCCGGAGAGTCCAGAGACTCCGGAGAAAGGAGCTCTTTTGAAGAGAGAACGCGAACCCTCGAGTCCGTCTTCTTCTGCTTCTTGGTTTTGTACCAAAACGAGGCGCCATCTGCTTTGATATTGCTCTGTACGTTTACGACGCGAGAAAGGAAGTTCATAATCATCTAAAGATCCCAGAAGAACGGCCAGAACAGGAAAAGTAGGATTGTTATATCATTATTTTTTTTTATTTCTTAATCTTTTATCCAAATTGATGCTTAAATTAAATTCTTTTTTTTACTTATTTTAAACTTTATGATTCCTCTTTTTGTGTAATCTTAAGCTTTGTGTTTCGAAAATCTTCTTGGTCTAATCTCACAGCTACTACCATCTGTAATCGCTTTATGGCACTAAATCACGCTGGACCCGCTTCATTCGTAAACATTTTATTGGATCAGTCCGCTTTTAAATATTCTTGGGGTTTAAACTTTGCCGAGTTTTATAACGAAAACTTTAAGTTTCTCTCGTGTCGATTTTATCGTGTATGTGCGTTCGAAAGTTTTTCCGTTCATTGTGTTCAACACGTACTTCGTGTATTACGTGATCATAAAACGTTTCGTGACTTACGCGTTTCTCTATAAAAATATATAAACTAAAAAAACGTTTGAAATTTCAATAAATAAAATTTCTTTCTCTTCTTTGTGAGAGGTGAAATTGTCAAACGATTCTTTTAACTCGGTATCTGATCGGAACGTTAGAAAATTAAATTATAATTTATAATAGGCCTCTCGTAGATTATAGGACGAGATTACTCGAATCACTTAATGGATAAAAGAAGTTATAATATTTTCTATGTCGCGTAACGTCTAAAAATAACGGACAGACTTTCCTGAGTGGCACTTGATGTAATTTCACGCTAAATATTTGTCCAATTAGCTCACGCATAAACAAATGTTTAACCACTTATCTCCTTCTCGGTCTTCGGGTGTGGATTTTTTAATTATTCGCGCCCATTCAAGTTTTCTTCTTGAACCGAAGAAAACCATACACGAAAGATGTTTACGTGTATCCCCGGGTATAGCAGGTTCGCCTACGCGTTTCAAGTTTCTTTCCATTCATAAAACGTGGCCTCTCAGGACGATCTCCTATAAGGAAGTAGTCGCCAATAAACCAAACCCTCCATTTTATTCTCTTAACGAGGGATAATTTAAACGATTATTTTTTTATTATTAAAAAGTCTAAACAACACCATTCATCACAAATATCTAGATTCTATCAAAAGTTATCATCATTGGAATGTGATATATTGAAGTATAAGCATGGTGCTAAGAAGATTTATGCTTCTGTAGTGGTTTGGTTCTTTTGAACATTTATGCTTGTTTTCCATGCGTTTGGTATTTTTTGCTCAGTTAACATTTTGTTTATCAGCGATGTTATTAAAGTGTCTCCTCCATATTTTAGTAGTTCATCTTTTCTCTGTTATCTGACCAGTCTTCACATTTACTTCTGTAGGCAGTAAAAATGAGATTTTTTGCCCACGGAATTTTATTTAAATTATGGTTTGGATTCATTTTTCTGCTTCCTAGTGCCTCATTTGCTGCTTCGTTTATTTTATACTTGGGTTTATCCCAGTATGTCGTTTTCCCATGTTACTGGATTCGTGCTGATTTGATTTTCTCGGTTAGCCTTTCAATCCATAAAGCTCTTTTCCTCTTTCGGTAAGTTGGTAACTCGGATTATGTCGGAAGTACTGTTGTTGGGAAAGATAAGATTGAAAATAACAAGAAATTCAAAAAATATATACAGGGTGATTCACATAAGAACCGACACAGACCAGGAACATGTAGAGGACAACAAATTAAGATGATTTAACGCAACTTATCTCTATACCAAGTTGTACCTCTGAAGAGTTATAAGCTTTCAAAATTGAGTCTTAAATTTTTAAAACATTGAATATCTTCGTAATACATTAAGCTAGAAAAACCAAATTTGGTATACATTACTACTTCATTTCATGTGGAATTTAATTCTAAAACTTTTTTTGCTCTTACTATTTTTTAAAAAACATTGTCGTTTTCATAAAAAACTCAAAAATCGTACGTAATTGTACGAAATTGTACGTAATTTGAGGAATAAACTGTTTATTATGAACTAAAAAGACATCATCCATAAACAAATTTAGTTTAGGCATAATAATTTTCTAGTGATAAAGAGAAAATCCCCAAAATATCAAAATTGAGTACTTTTGGTATTAAAATAGATCATAACTCGAAAATTAAAGGTGATGGAGAAAAGTTTATTTGAAATAAATTGTTTATTATGAACTAAAAGGACATTACTCATAAACAGATTTGGTTTAGTTATAATGATTTTCTAGTGATAAAGAAAAAATCACCAAAATGTCA